CGGGGCGAGAGGGAGGGGCCCGGCACCGAGGAGACAGGCTGAGGGGGCGTGTCTGTGCCGGGCCTCTGCTGTGGCCTGGGGGTGGTGGCGGGGAGCTGTCACCCCAGTCTCCCCCCAGACTTGGGGAGAGACAACAATCCCCCAGCGCCACCTGAAAGCCAGGGGCGAACGCAGCCTTTCAGAGGAAAACCTCTCTCGGGGTCGCGGGTGTGGACACGGCATGCCACCGGCTTTGCTTCTGCTTCGCGGCCCTGGGGTGAGGCTGGCGGATTCCGCCTGCTTTGGCTCCCTGACTTTCAGACCCTTCCCAAAAGCTGAGATCTGGTTGGGCCACACTGGTGTCCTGACCAGGCTGCCCAGAGGGGACGCTGCCCACCCACCTCCGCAGGATGGCCAGGCTCTCCTCCTCGTCCCCGGTGGAGCTGCCCCGGCCCGGCCGGCCCTCGCTCATCTCGCTCTGGGGAGACAAGAGCACGCAGCTTTCAAACAGCAGAAGGAGCCGCCCAGCGCCCCCTCCCAAGGCCCCAAGCTCCTGTCCAGTCTGGGGCTGACCCGAGGCCCCGCAGGCAGGACGTGGAGGGAAGGCGCAGCTGGGGGGCGGTGGGCGACTGTGCGGTGGCGTCAGCGGCCCTCACCTTGGCCCTGCGGTAGGGCCCCCTCCGGGTTGCGCTGCCGTCGGAGCTGTGGTTCTCAGAGCCTCTCCGGATGCCTGGTTTGGAGACAAGTGGAGGAGGGGTGTGACTGCATCTTCCCGCCGGGAGGCGGGGTGCACCCTGGAGGATCAGCACATTTTTTAACTTTTGGGAGAAAAGCGGTGCGCAGCCAGCAGGATGACAAGGGAGGAAACTGGGGAGACGGGGCCAGGGCCTCAGGAGGCGCCTGGGCCGGCGGGAGTCTGCTTCCCAGCAGGGCTGCAGCTCCTGGCCTGTAGGGGAGGCTCAGTGCCCAGACACCCCAGATGGGCCTCAGAGTAATGTCCCCTTGGGCCCCGCACACTGGGCTCAGGGGCCCTCCCCAGCCCAGCCAACACTGGCCACAGCTGAAGAAAAGGGCAGGTGCTTCCTGGCCACTGGGCAGTGTGTCTGGGGACAGGAGGTGACAGGAAGGGCCTCTGGGAAAGGCCGTGGGTTCAGCTTGGCCTTCGAGGAGGGCTGTGCCTGGGGACCGACCGTGGGCCTGGAGGGTGGGGACCAGCCTAGGAGAGGCCCTCAACAGTGGTGGTGGTCCTGGCCTAGCCACTCTCTGCGGCACCAGCGAGGAGCAGCTTGGACCCGGGGGAATGAACAGGCAGGCCGGTTGCCGATAAAACTTCATCTCCAAAGTGGTCTGGACATAGGATGGCGTTCCCTGGGGCTAAGGGGGCGACAGCAGGTACCTGGGGAGGGGCAGGGAGATTTCGTGAGCGCCTCGGGCCGCGGGGCCACCGGCTGCACGGGCCGCGTCTGCTTGGCCGCCAGCTTCTTCAGGCTCGCCTGTCTCCGGTGGAACATCTCCTCCATGCTCTCCTGCTTCTGGAAAACTTTCTGCACGTGCTCCTGGGGACAGTGTGACGGACTGGCTAGTGGGCGCGGCGTCCAAAAGAGGCTGTGCGCAGACTCGGCCGCAGCTGTGAATGCTGAGATGCGGGGCTGTGCCTCGCCCCTGCCCTGCCCTCTGTGGGTGGGCCCCCCCCCAGGCATGAGGGTCCCTGGGCTGAGCAGAGTCCACTGAGGGGCCGCGGGAGGGGTAGTGCACTGGGGGGCGGCCAGTGTCACCAAGCACAGGCCCTCGAGGGGGTGAACACTCGGAGGCCGGAGGGAGGGTGGGAGAATGCTAGGCCAGACGCCCTCCAAGCCACACCCCTCTCAAATGCCAGTGTCCCCTTGGAATAATTAACCCCCACTCTGGGACACCATCGGAGAAACTTGTGGTCAGGCAGGTGAGCGCAGGCGACAGGTTGGGCTCCCCACCCTCAGGTGGGGGGTGAGGACGGGTTCCCTACCCTTAGCTCCGGGGTGAGGATGGGCTCATAGTCCTGGTAGAGTCTACTGAGTTCCCGGATCTTGTTTTCTGCTCCAGTCTCCAGAAACTTCTCGATCTCCTGGAGAGCCGCCTCGGCGCCGTCCTGGGACTGGCACTTGTCCACTGGCTGTGAGGCCAGCAGGTAGATGCCCTCATCACACCACCTCATGGACTGGAGGGAAAGAAGGGCGCATGAGGGCTGCCCTGGCGCCTCGGGCACGGCCCGCGGATGCTGCGTGCGACCCTCTGCGTGGCCGTGTGGCCTAAGTCCCGCCACTACGTCCTGAGGGCTCCCCTGGGGGACGCATGGCCCAAAACCAAGCAAACCGCCCAGGACTGGGCCCATCCACACTGCGGGCAAAGAGCAGTGAACTGGCTGGACGGTCAGTCTCCGGGCCTTTTATAGACGCAGTCAGCTGTGGCCAGTGAGTTTCAGAAATGGCCACTTATGTCACGACAGGACCGTCTGGGCCTCAAGAAAGGCACACAGGAGGCCGTGGGCCGTCTTCCAACCAGTGCCTGAGGTCCAGCCATGGTGGGAGGGGCCCAACGGGACCGGGGTGTGGGGCGGGGCTGGGGGGGGCCTACCGCCTCCAGGAGGGCCCGGTTCGGCCGAACGGGTACCCGTTTACCCCCGGTAAGGGTCCCGGGGAAACCGTTCGGGGCCGTTCCGAACGGCCCGAAGGGCCCGGTACCCCCCCCGG